AAATGGAACTAGTGTGTGCGAAGCGGCTTCCAAAGGCCAAAAAAAGATTAAAGTTTGTCTTTTTCATTTTGCACAACAATGAAGACAATAATCAGAGATTAGAAAAAGGTGCAGCTTTGGGATAAAGGTAGTAACCATTAGACCATTACATATATTTTAAGATCTAACATGGAAAGAAAAGGCGTTTTCTGTCTCAACATCAAAAATTTACCCGTGTGGAAAATAGTTTTGAGACCATCTAAAACTACGTCAGCTGACATCCCAGATTTGCTGGGGTTGGTTTTTCCATTTTTCCCAGTGTCCTACACAGAGGTGTCAAGTAACAAAGTACAAATACTTCGTTACTGAGTAATTTCATGTTATTCTACGAGGCTAAATAATGTCCTGCTCTTAAAAGGGGGGTTATATGAACCACTGGCAGCAGGATTGCCAATAACTGGGCCATTGCTGATTTTACACAAAGAAGGGGAAAAAGAAATGTGGGACATTGTGTCTAAATAAATGTACTTAAATGAAATATTTTTTTACTTAAAGTGAGGTAATACCTTTGTGCTAAAATATAATTTTTTTAAAAGCTTTACACTACCCTTTGTAAGTGTAGAATGTTCTGTACAAAAACAGATCAAAACAAAGCAGCTATTGTGTCATAATCGTGATAAACAAATACCAAATTTGATCAGAACTATGTAATAAAAAAGGTGAGAGAAATTTTTCATGATTAGTATTCAAGGTAATACCTGTGATAGAGAAAGTAATGATGATAAAACTCTGATGTTAGAGTTTGTCTAGGCACATAATTGAAATTCATACAGGATCTCTCTTATCCTTTAAAAGGCTCTGTCATTTTTTTCTTTCTAGGTTAGGTTGTTTACCAGCTTAAGTCTCTAAGGACTACATACGCAAGATCTGTACCAAGTATTGATGCTCACCAGCAAAAAAACAACGCCTGATATAACCTCAATGCATTTTCTTAAAAGCTGCTGGTCATTAATTTGAATAGTCTGTCTTTAGGAGCAACAGTTTACTCTTCTCAATTAGAGCTGGAAACACCTCTGAGGGAGAACAAAGTCTCTGCTTTATTAAAAGAGAGCTGAGCAGGCTTTACCTCATCGCCCAGAACACTGACCCTCAAACTGCAACAGCAGCGGGAGTCACTCCAAATTGTACGTTCAGAGAAGAAATAAAGTCATAAAAAGAAATATTGCTATGGCCTGAAAAATGTATATATGTATTACATGAGTCATTATCTGGAAATATGACTTTTATGTTAAATATGTTAAAATGTGTGTGTTGATGTTTGGCTTCAATAAAACCCTGGAAAATCCATTGAATTTAGGCTGGTCTCGTTTTTGTTTGTGGGCTCGTTTAAAAGACGCGATTTTAGCATTCCTTCTGTATTAATTTCAATAATGGAAGGGTACTAGCATAGGCCTGCATTGCTATCACCAGTCCTGTCTCTATTACACCAGAAGCAGCAATTCCACCAATTGCTGACTCACCTGCAGGCTGTCAGCAACTGTTACCGCTTGTGTAACGAGACCAGAAAGGCATTTAAAAGGAACAATGGCTCATCTGTAACAGATCTTTCCCGAAAGGTTGCACAATATCTGGGTTTGCATTTGTATATAACGGGTATTTTCTCGGGTTACTGTTGCATTTTATTGCTCCTTTATAATAAATAGTGCATAATATAAAGAACAACAATACTACAATACTAGCATGTCTGATGATGACATCAGAAAAGCAATATAACGGGAAGAATGTAAATGCATCCATTTTCTCAGCAAAGTTATTATAGTTTTTTATACTAGGAGGTTAGTATATTTTTTAAATTTAATGATAGAAATAAGTATTTTTGTTACTGCTGTTACATTGTTAAATGTCGACCTGAAGACATGGAAAACATGGAGAAGCAGCATTTAGTTCCTATGCTCCACTTATCTGGACCAAACTTCCAAAAAAATGTAAAAGTGCGGAAAGCCTGAGTTCCTTTAAGTCAAGACTAAAAACACATTTGTTTAGGATCGCCTTCCACTGTTCTAGTTAAACAGTTCAACTAAAACATATTTTCTTTAGTCCATTCTTTTTTGTTTCTTCATTTTTTAATTTTTTTTTTTTTTTCATTTTTTCCTACTTGCTTTGATTCTGTTTTATCCTCCTGTATTTTAATCATGTAAAGCACTTTGCATTGTCTTTGTACTGAATTGCGCTATACAAATAAATTTGCCTTGCCTTGCCTTGCCTTGACTTGAAGGAAAGTGCAGCATGCACTAATGAGCTGATGGTATAGATTGCCTAGTGACGACAGGTCCAGTAATGCTAATGCTAGCCAACCAAAACATTTAAAGGTAAGTTTTTTCACGAATTTTTTAAGACCTGCCCTTTTCCCTTAAAAAAATGTGTGTATGAGATTGTGCACGAGCCATTTTCTCCTCGTGCACGCTCTGCTTAAAGGTTGTTGTTCTCATAGCTTATATAAGCTTACTGTGCCCGAACTTCCATCCTAACCCCTAATTCCATCAATAATTATATAGAGCGTGGAATATATAGTGGACTTTATAGCGAACTCAGTTAACTGACCATTCAGACAGATAATCACTGCTTTTCGCCCCTCCACTGTGCTGTGCCTGCACCATCTTTGTTATTAGCCACCGCCAGTGTTGGGAAAGTTCTCTTTCTACGTGAACTAGTTCAAAGTTCAGTTCACACATTTTAAAATGAACTA